CAAAAGCTTGGTCGAGTCCATGGAGAGATCTTTGGGATTGGGATTAAAATGTTATGTTGTCCTCTTATTAGGAGAACTTGAAGCCAACATGATGAGGTGGATTGATAAAAGAAAAAATTACTCTGATGGCGATTGCCAAATACTATCAAACAAAAATAAAACACAGAATACTCCATGAACACATCTACTTGTGTTCGTATCACATGATTCCTTCACTCCTGTCAGGAACATGTCACGAATACAAAGTAAGCTATTTTATGTACTTTGTTTTATGCAAACCTTATACGTTTTACTTTTCCCCCAAAAAAATAACAATACAACAAACGAATGTTTTAATAACTGAATTATTTTATATACTAATGTTCAAAAAAATTGCTGATTAAAAGTGATGCGTGCAATCCACATAGGAATGAACCCAAAAGTCATGCAAACATTAAGAAATGAAGAAACATAAAGCCGTGATATCATCAATTTAAAGGGTACGGGCATATGGATTTTTACATGTAGGAGATTATGTTCATATCAGAATAAAATTTAGCAGAAGTTTATGGTAACTTTTTTTATTTTCTGTGAAAGAGGCATGGTGAACTCATAGATTAATGAGGAAACGATTTACAGTGAAAACAGAGCCAGAGGGCATTAGTTTAGAGTAACATTTGTCATGTCCTGCTCCACGGTGATTTGCTATTTGGCATATTCAATAAATAAATAAATAAATAAAAAGTCAGCACCAACATTGCTCAGAAATCTGTGAAAACTGTTTTCAAGTTTCAACGATTCGATTGCATTGAAAATAGAACAATGGATATGGGGGATGCGGGCACAGGGCAGTAGAGAGTCCACTTGGCAATGTTTCCTAAATCATATGCTGTGTCTTTGAGGGGCTCTAACTATATACAACCCTAGAAAGATTTAAGTTGATGGGTGCGCTTTATGGACTTGTCGGAGGAAAACGCGGTTTAGGATGATGGGCATTGTTAAAATTCAATTGAACCAAATGAACCGTCTTTTGTAAGAAGAAGATGAGAAATACAAGAAGCATTCATAATTTTTCTACAAGCAATAAAATAAGTCATTTTAGAAATTTATTAGATAGGTTGTCCGCGTGTTACCGTGAAATACTTTTAAAGATACCTGTTATCTTTAATTATAAAATAATTAAAAATATATATTTTTTAAACATACAATTGGCAGTATTAAAAGTTATTTGTTTTGACTTTCAAGCAACAAATATATAATAAACAAAAAACTTGATTAAACTGTATCAAATTTTCTATAAAAATTAAATTATAAAATGTTAAAAAACAACAATTTAATATAAACATTGTTTCACCAACTCAAACAAAAAAAAAAATATAAAAACCTAACTTTTGAATGAGAAGTGAAATATCAACAACTATTAGCAAATAAAAAATAACAAATATGTACCAACTCCTTGTTACTACAAGGAATTGAATAATTTAGCTAAATGTCTACAAAAATATTTTATGTATCTATATATATATTTAGACTCAATGTATAAAATGAGTATAATACAAACCTCAAACACTTATTTTAGAAGGTAAATTCTCCTTATAAGATAAAACAATTTAAAATCATCTAAAAATTTTAAATTTTATTAAGCAAGCATTAGCCAAATAGTTTTCTCCTCTATATATATATATATATAAACTCTTAGATGGAAACAACTCAATAACCATTATGTAAAGTAATGGGAAAAAAATCATCAATAATAATAAAAAATAAAATTAAAAAAACCAAGTGAAAAATAAAGGTCAAGATATCTAACATCACAACACGAGTAATTTACTTAGTCATGTTTAATGAATTTCTTTATCAAAATAAATTTATAATAGAAAAAAATATAAAATCTGTAATAGAAACTGACACACACATAAAATTTATTGAACAATAATTATATATAAAAAAACAATACAAGACTATACATAACATATAAAATTTATTGAACAATAATTAAAAAAATTAATGCAAAACGCTGCAGATGTGAAAAATCTTATAAAAAATCAATATTAAAAAAAATAATCTATATAAAATTAAAAAAAAAAACAGATAAATCATACTCACCTTTCTAAAAACTAAACATACTCAATATCATTTAAAAATAATCACAACCTAATTAAAACATAAACCAAAAATTTAATTGAAATAATATACATAAATAATGCATTATTTTAAAAAATTAAAAAAAAAACCAAGTCAGACGCTTTTAGACCTGTTAAGCAAAGACCAGCACATGGCCTAATAAAACAACAGCTCAAGTGCATACCCTTTTTAAAAACAAATGTTTAATGGTGGATCAAATAGTTTAAAAACAAAATGACACGTTGTTTGCATTAGCAGACAACATGTTACTTAACTCTAACCCAGAATCCGACCACATTGATGGTTGAAAAAACAAAGATTCTTTATTTTTTTAATAAAAAATCTGATTTTCAACCCATTTTTTACCCAAAGCATCTAGAAAACACTCTAATGACCTTGATAAACTAATTTATAGTTACCAAAAGCCAAAAATACCACCCCAAAACCCGAAATCCACCCAAAACAAAAATTCTTTTTGAGCTCAAATTTGTTGTTTTAGGTGTTTTCATGATAAAAATAATATATAAAAAAAAAACATAAACGCAACCCCCCTTGTCATATAGAATTTTTTGACACAAAATCAATTGTTTTAGTGGTCAAAATCTTTCCCAACAATCATTTTTTTTTCTAGACTGGAATCTAGTGACTCCCTCTCTCTCCTCCTAGCATAAAAAAATCAAAAAAAAAAAAGAAAGATGAAGTTAGATATCAAAAATATATTATCTTGAAATTTAATGGACTAGTCACTTAATACCTAACAAATATAGATGATTAAAATAAATATCTTAACTAAACTTTCAATCCATCTTTATGTTATCCAAGATTTTTACTTCAATTTCTTAGCTTTTAATTCAATCTTTCTTTCTAAAAAAAATATACAATTAAAAGTTAATTTAGATTCTAAATTATCAAATAATTATAAAATAAAAATTCAAGAATCAAGATAAAAATGTTAAAAAATATATATTTCTCTACTCTATCGTAAATTGAAAGAGAGTGCATACTATTTTGATACACAATAAAAAAAAAAAAAAAAAACCTGATAAATTTTAGATTTTGTTGCAATAATTCATCACCGGCAAAATAGAATCAATAGCATGTTGGGTACAAGCAAACCTAACATCAAGTCTATGCTAACATCCAATAAATGAGAATTTGATATGGGTAATGAGTGTACAAAACAACATTGATGAGAGTGTCATTGGGACCGTTAACAGATATTAAATCTCTTCATAAATCACATCGCTCGACTCGATAACTTAATACAATAACAATGAGAGGAGACCAAGGCCGGCATCTTGTCACGTTCAATGTGACCCTTGCAATGCAAATCATGAATCATATTTTTCCAACGGAAACAGCCTAAAACACACAACCACAACTACAAAACAAGGAAAAATTAAAAAGTATGCAGTCACCTCACTCACCCTTAGCAACCACCTTATAATAAATTTGCCCAATGGAGGAATCTCTGAGGTATAAATTCTAAGAAGTATCAAAACCCATGACCTTACCTTGATGAGAATGGTGCCGAGGAGAATAATGAACTTGGGATACCTATCCAGCATGCCAACAACTTAACTTTTAGTGTTTATTGATGTACTCCAAAGGCTTACGATTAGTGGTAAGGATGGAACCATTATGCACCAAATAATGTTATCAATATTTCATTGACCGAGCAAAAGGATAAAACTTAAGATCATGGATGGAGTAGTTCTTCTTGATAGTTTTTCATTGAAAAAATGGCATGGGATATCCCTCTTGGTTAAGGACACCTCCAATTCCTAAACTCGAGGAATCATAATCATCCACAAATAGCCTATCAAAATCAAAAGGGGAAAGGACAAGAGTTTCAATCTTTTGCTTTACCAGCTACAAGGCGGCGTTTTCTATCTCCATTAACTAGAAAGTACACCCTCTAAAAAACTCAGTGATAGGTGTGATCAAAGAGCTGAAATTATGGATGAACTGACTATAAGAAAAGGTCAACCCGTTGAAAATCTTCACCACTTGCCAGCTTTTTTTTTTTTAGAACTAGAAAGGTTAGGATTGCACCAGGGTTCATAATCGTCATATCGTGTCCCTTTTTCAGAACTCTACCACCTAGTGTTGTAACTTTTTAGACTTTTTAGTTACGAGTCTGTCTCTTTACCCTGTTTGTTTCAGCCATATAAACCACCCCTTTTTTAGGCGATAACACCACACATTTCTGCTTTCAGCTCTGACAAAAAAAGATTTCAGAATCGGAGTATCCCGCAGGGAGATTAGGGTGACCGAGTCTCGGTGGGCAGGTTGATCATGCATCAGCTAGGCAGAATGAAACCATAAGTTTCCCGTTATGTCAATGAAAGAAATGTCTTTATAACAGGCTAATGGCAATTTTTTTCACACGACCAAAGGTCATTGCATTTTGTGAGATAATATTAGGTGAACTTGATTGTTAATTGTTGAAGGGTGTATCATTCTATTAATCTATTTAGCAAAACATCAACTTCAAATAAACAAACAACTACAGTTATAAACAAGATCAAGGGAGGGAAATATATATATATATATAATGAGTAATTAATTTTTTTTCTTGAAATTCTTTTTTTTTTATTGCTGCTATATTAATGAAGACAACATCAGCGTTAGTTGGGAAATAAGCTCATGGTACCGAACTTCAGGAAATAAGCTTTAAAAAAACACGGTGTGTGCTGAAGAACTCCAGAAGAAATTATAGAAAAATTAAAAAAACTTGGCAAGATTACTGAATTGCAACTTTAACATTAGATGAAGCCCAGGAGAATCCCCTCATTCGTGACTGAACTTTTTGTCGTTGAACAAATTTCCTGTAGTGCCAACGTGCTGGGTAAAGGATCATTTTTTTCAGCTTCTTTGCGTGCTTGTAACTGAAATCAACTCCCTGATGTGAAATCTTCAAGGGCTTGACAACTGACCTTAAGATGTTTCATCCCATAAAAAACTTCAAGATTCAGCTTTTTCAGACGAGGAAATGATGATTCCGTAAATAAGTCCAAGAGGGACGATTGTTCATGCAAATTCACCAGCGAAAGTGACAACGTTTGGAGTGATTGAAACCCGCCAGTCATGACTTAGGAAGGAAATAATTTGAACCAGCTTAAAGAGTCAGAGATTCCAATTTGAAAACACGTAAAGAATAACTCGTTATAACCTCACAGGGGAAGTTAAGGTAATCAAGTAACCCCCACATCAAGTTCATGAACATTATGCCTAATTGCATTATTGATCAAACAATTTAGATGCAAAAGGCTAAAGTATGCTGTAAACCGAAGGGTTCTTAGATCAAAATGCTTGTCCCGGTGGGCTAAAACACCGGCGATGATGCTCAATGACAGATTGATATGATCTTTTTGAGTTAAGTTTTGTTGGATAACAAGCGGCAATAGTAGGGCTCATGGTGGTGAAATCAAGATCAGGGAATGAAGACCAAAGAGATCTCCATCGTTTTGATAAGATGCTGCTTTGAGCAATGAGTTTAATAGGAAGTGAGAGTGGAATGTGATGGAGGATAGGGTCAGGGTGATCACTGATTCTTTTAATGTAATGGGTACCCTCATCTTTTGCTGCAAACCCAATGAGCTTCTTGCGCTTGGAAGGTCTTGTTTCCATTGCAGGCCAATTACTGGTGGTTTGTTAGATTGATTCTTTCATGAGTTGCAGATTCTTACGGTTTCCAAAATACAGTGTTGAATCTCTCAGCGTTTTTAGCTAGTTTAGATTAGGGCTTGAAAGTTTCGAAAGAGTGAACTCTGAGGTACGAACGTGAAGAATTCTTCAAAACAATTCTAATGCCTCGTGTTGTAAGCTTCTTCCTCTCTAATTCTAGAATATAAGTTATACTCAATATGTTACATCCAATAATTTATTTAATAAATCACATGATTAAAACATTAATATTTTTTAAGTATAAAAATATCAAAATAATAAATAACTTAGTAAAATCATGATCGAACTATAAAAAATTAATTATATAAATTATAAATAACAGTAATACAACAACAAGAATAATAATAATAATAATAATAATAATAATAATAATAATAGTTGTAGTAGTAATAATAGTAGTAGTAGTAATAGTAGTAATAAAAGAAGAAAAAAAAAGTTAATGAGAACTTTGAGATGGAAGATTAATGTAGGAATTAAACAATGAAAACAACAAATGTAAAGGTTAGAGGATCCACTAATGGTATTTCAAACAAGTATAATATGAACTATTATTACTCAAATGAAAACCACACACAAAGAAGATTTCAATCAGATTATAAAGTATTAACATGATTACATTAGTTATCTTATTTGAAAAACGCTAATACTTGTAAATGTTATCAGGTATTCAATGTTATCAGGTATTCATGATTATAACTTATGTTAACAATAAATCAAGTTCCTTTCATAGCACAGGTGTCGGTTATACCATACAGTTTGTGCTATAAAAGTGCCAAGTATTTGTTGTAATAAATGTTATAATACATAAATCTAGATTAGTCATTTAACCAACAAAGAATTAAAAAGTGAATAAGATAACAAATACAAAACATGTTAATATCAAACATTAAAATCAATGTTAAGTTTACACTATATTTATTTTTATACCATTAGCATAACCTTTTCACCTTAACAGAGTAAATTTAGTTAAACATAATGAAAGAGATAAACATAAATAAACAAGATAAGAATATAAATAAGATAAAAGTTAAATAAGTAAAGGAAATGAATTGAAAGGCATAAATAAGATATTAATGAAAACAAAACTTAAGCATTACAAAAATACAAAGAGAAAAAACAAGAGGATGATCTTGATCTGGAAACCAAGATGTCTAAATGCATAACAAATACCTCCTTTTATAGGCCAAAATTAGGAACTATTGATTTGATAACTAATTGATGAGTGGGTAGCCAACGCTTGACTTGGTAACAATCCTTATCTTCTTGTCTGAATGAAAAGTCATTGATAACGTCAGAATTTGAACGAGACCTCCACATGAAAGTTCTAGGAAATTGTTTTAACTTTACAGGAAAAAACAATTAAGGTCATTTGGACTTCTAGAACTCGAGATATAGGCTGAACACTGAATAGTGTCTGAGCTGTAAGACAGATTTGGACTTCTACGTTGTTGCTAAGATTTGGACTTCCAAACAGCATAATTGAGTCTTGACTTCCCATAAAAGCTTTAGGCATATATCTTAGCTTTCCATCCATATAAAGTAGACCTAAATCTGAGATCTACAACTTCAGATATGACCTAATTACCAAAAAGTATTCAAGTTTGGACTGCACCAATATCTCTTTTCAATGTCTGGCCCTCTCTTTGTCATTTTAATTTCAGTACTTAAACTCATCAATCAATCCTTTTATTTATGTGATAGGCCTGCATTTAAGATGAACATTTACAATAAATTAAAGGTACCTTATGGTATTAGACTTATTATTATAAAACATATTTTGGTTAAGGAGTTATTGATACTTTAAGTGTAAAATGATAATATAAAACCTTAGTAAAAATACACTTTTAAGAACTAATCAATAAATATAATGAGATTTGAGTTTTTCATGTAAAATAATTACATCAATTTAAATAAAAACATATGATTAAAAAAATAGATTAGAGAATAAACTTAAATTGAAGAAAAAATTACAAGCAATTAAATTAGATTTATTGAGATAGATTGAAAACTTGTTCTAAAATATAAGAGCAAAGTAAAATAGTCTTTCTACTTTATATTGATTGGATCTAGCTAGCTTTACTTAAAACAGATTTATCTCTCTCAATTGTTTTAATAAGATGATTGATTTTTATTACAAAAATATACATTTTATTTAGAATTATAATATGGCTAAAATATAAAATTACAATTTTAAAATAGAACCAACAAAGTTGAAGCAGAAAACATTGATCAAAGAACTATAAAATTTATGTGAGACTTTAATGCATGATTCCTATAGTATAAATTGACAATTTGTCAAATCAATTTTTTTTCTCTCACAAAACTAAACTCTATAATTTTTTCATTAAATATTTGAGCACTTAAAAATTAAGTTTTTCTTTCCTGCTAGAAGCATAAGACACCTCTAACTCCTACCTTATATCTCAAATCATTTGTCACTATATTATTACTTTAGCCAAGCATTTTGATATTAGAGTTTATTTGTTAAACATGGTTTTTTTCATTTTTCAATGCAAAACAAATATTAAAAAATAAATTAATGGAAAAACATTCTTTTTACTTGAAGAAAAATAATTTAACCTGGTAAAAATGAAACTAATTTAATTTATATTACCAACTCACAATATTCATAACATCAAAATTTAATATTATTTCAATAATTATTAACAACACCACCATCACTACCATAACAATAACCACTTCATCATCACCTCTCCATTGCCAATTACCAACATCAATGTCATTACAAGTACTATTTCTTTACCAATATATCTATTATTTTATCATCATTATATCATAACCATCCAATACCACATTATCACCAAAAGAACAACCAACAACATACAACTCTTTTTTATCATCATTATTCTCACAAAAATCATCATCCTATAACTACCATCAATATTATCTTAATCACTACTATAAATGTTATCACCAACAACACCACTATTACTACATATATCAAAAGGGACTACAACTTTTCTCATCGTATTATTATTATTCAAAAACCATCAAAGAAAAATAATTTATTTTATAAAAAAATATTTTTCTCAATATATTCAAATAATGGAAAAAAACTTATGAAAAAAAAATATTTTTAAGAAAATATTTTATGCTAACAAATAAACCTAATAAATCCCCAACACTAGAAAAATCTTTCCCCAGACACTCCTTGATAAAACTTGAAGACTTTAACTAGAATTTTATATCGTGATAAAATTAATACTCCAATATTACCTAATTTATCAAAATAAGAGGATTAAGTTAATCAACTTCTTCTTATTTCTTACTAGGATTTGGGTAAGAATAGTGATATAAGTTACAAAAAACTCTTGTAAGATAAGAGAACATTAGAAAATAGGTGAATGATATTAAATGTTGTATATCTAGTTGGATAATTAAAGTAACAAATCCATATAACTTGCAACCTATTTTCTAGTTTATCTTTTCAATTTATGAATTTTGTTTTTTACAAGACTAATTCTACTTCAGTTTTCTCTACTTCTGAAACTCTTGAAAGCATAAGGATTCTATAAAGTGAAGAAAAAACAATTAAAGATTTTACAAAAAATATTGATGATTGGAAAATTCTAAAAATTTCTCAAACACAGATTTATCAAAAGTCCAAATATGATATTTTCAAAACAGATTTTACTATCAAGATATTCAGCTTACAAAACCTTTTGAAACCATCCAACTCTTCTCTAAAAAATCCTTATAAAAACATCTAGCCAAAAACTATAAATACATCCACGTTGGTCTTGTCTAGGTTAGGATAAAACCCCTTAAAAAAGAAGGATTGAACACTTTCATTCTAGCTGTACTCCGAGATGCTAGATTCCAAAACTTTCAAGACTCACTCCTAAGTTCTATTAAGTCGAGATTTTGCAGTAGTCCAGTTTCATTTGACTGTTATCCAAATTTAATTATATCCCTCAAAGACAAAAATATCTTGCAAAGTATACTACTACAAATAAAGACATATAAATACAATATGCTTGTAGGATCGATCCATGTCGCTCTTATATTCAAAATCCACTACAAAACTATGTTCTTAGCTTCTGCCAACAACATAAATTTCAATCTCTAAAAGGAGAAACACTCTTTTTACAAACAGATTTACCCCGCTCAAACACTGTTGTCCCAAAAGCAATCCAATAGAAAGATATATCTCTTCCAGAAGATTAGATCCTTAAAGGAGTATCTCAACCAGAATTACCCCAACCACTACAACTCAATGTCCAAATAAAAAACATTACCCAACACATAGATGGAAAAGTCAAATTATATTTTCATCAACACTCTACAATTTTTAAATTCTCAGAAGACTCATTCTCTTCCAATACAATAGGATCTAAGAAGAATTTTTAAAATCCCTTCTATTATCAATATTCCCTATCACGCAAGTCCTCCTAGAAAATCTACATCTAACATCCCTTTTGCTGGTTTTTAAAATACAGATTATGCTATAACAATATCACAACCTGTTTATACAGACACTAAGCAACCATCTCCTCTAACATCCCCATCCTTTCAACAGTTATTGAAAACATAAAAAATGAACTGAATGTTTTGACTTCAGACAAGCATTTTGTCATAAACAAAACTCTTTTCAAAAGAGATTTTCATGGTGATCACAATTCTGAAAAACAATCTAGGTTTTTCAAAAACTTTCTCCAACAAATAAATGATATCCAGAAATAATTTTTGCTGATATTAGGTTCTATAAAGTATAAATTTTATTCTTTGATTGGTTTGAATTTCACTATGCACTAGTACAACATATTAGATATCCATTTACATCCATCAAACATGCATGTTCTATCACAACCTATTCCAAAATTCTTGTATAGAACCTCACTAGTGGATTTTCAATCGAGTCTGACCATCCATCTTTGCAAAACATATAATTTACCCACAAAAACCAAACAGTTGATGCAGCT